GCAAAAGAACATAGATTGATTATAATGACTATTCAGTTTAAAGTGAATATTATCATTTTCTTATTAAGTAATATAGTTTCTTCGTCCCCTGGAGGGGTTTAAGGAGATATACTTCACATTGAACATTGTATTAGTTTAAGGTGTATAACATAATGATTTAATATATTACTGTAATTTTAGTTAACATTCATCACCTCACATAGATAATTCTTTTTTTCTTGTGATGAGAACTTTTAAAATCTACAAAATATACAATAGAGTATAACATAGTTTTGAACCTAAATTACTTAGACGGTGCATTTCTATTGATAAAGTTCTTTGAACTCATTGTAAAAGTAGCAAATGTGTGCTTAGTTGCTCAGTCATATGCAAATCTTTGTGATCCCATGGACTGTAGCTGGCCAGGCTCCTCTATTTATGCGATTCTCCAGGCAAGAATACCGGAGTGGGTGGCCATTTCCTTCTCCAGGGGATCTTCCTGACCCCGGGATTGAACCTGGGTCTCCTGCATTGCAGGCAGATTCTTTACCATCTGAACAACCAGAGAAGCCCAAATCAATGATTTACCACAATTCACTATGATAAATTATCTGTTGAAGGTAGAACGACCAAGGCCAAGACTGTGTATTATATTTCCCTTCTACTTTAAGGAAAGTTCCATTACAAATGACAGCAACACTTTGCCTTTTATAGAACATGAGTCTTCAAAATGTTTTAATATTACATGAAGTACAAAGAAGTATATCACAAAATTTAACATATCAATTGTAGGACATGGATTAAGACATTTGTTACAATGTAAGTAACATGGAAACTTATATTACCATATGTAAAATAGATAGCCAATGGGAATTTGCTGTTATGACTCAGGGAACTCAAACCAGGGCTCTGTAGCAACATAGAGGAGTGGGATAGGGAGGGAGGTGGGAGGAAGATTCGAGAGGGAAGGGACGTAAGTACATCTATGGCTGATTTATGTTGATGTTTGGCAGAAACCAACAGTTCTGTAAAGAAATTGTCCTTCAATTAAAAAATAAATTAATTGAAAAAAAAGACATTTGACTTTGCAGGCAAGACACTGAATCACACCCAGTCAGTCATATCTTTACTTGGCAGAAATATTTTTTTCTTTTAAAAAATGTTTATACTTTATTTTAAAAATACTTGCCACAGAATATTTAAATTTGAATTTTTATACAATTAAATTTCCATTAAGTCCTAAGGTGTTCTGTTATGAAAAGATTGGAGTGAATGTGAATAGAATCAACCAAAACTACTATTTTTTTCACTGTGGTGCTTTGGTTTACAGCTAAGACGTTTTCCTTATCATTAACAGAATTATTGCACTAGTAGGAGAGTGCTAGCTCCTTCAAGTTTGGTCAACTTGCATTCTTTTTCCTCCTCAGTGCAGTCATAGGCCAAATTCCCATTCCCCCATCATCTCTGTTTCTATTACCTTTAAAGGGAATATTGCATTCTGACAAAATCTATCAGTGCTGAAGGAGTCATAATTTAGCCACAGGATATACAGACACTCCCTCGTTTGTGATGGTTCGACTGAAGATTTTTTGACTATGTGATGGTGCAAAGGTATTACACATTTAGTAGACACCATACCTCAAATTCTGAATTTAGACAGTTTCCAGAGCTAAGGATAAGCAGTACGAAAGGCTGGGCAGGGCAGGGGAGAGCAGGGAGCTGCAGCTCTCAGTCAGCTACTAGATGACAACAGTAAATAACTGAGACACTTATAACCATTCTGTATCTACACGGCCATTCTTTTTCACTTTCACTGCCAGTATATAATAAATTACATGAGATACTCAACACTTAATTAAAAAACGGGCTTTGTGTTAGGTGATTTTGCCAACTGTTGGCTAACGTAAGTGTTCTGAGCATGTTTAAGGTAGGCTAAGCTAAGCTATATTGATAGGTAGTTTAGGTGTATTAAATGCATTTTTGACTTAGGATGTTTTCAGTTTATGATGGGTTTATCAGGACCACCATTGTAAATTGAAGATCTGTAAAGATCACCTTCTACTTTGTTTTCTATATTTTCTTTTTTCCCTGCTATCTTTAGACTAATCCCCAGAATCAAAAATTTCTTGCATGTATCTGAATAATTCCCCTCTGAACAAATTATTTCATAGAAAAGCATGTGTAAACTGCCTCACAGACATTTCTCTCTACAAAGTTGCTCATTGACTTTAAACACCAGCTAATCATCTGTTTGACAGAAGCAGTCAGAGCTATCCCAATGCCACCTTCCTGCCTCTCACTCCACATAGTGATTGCTTGTATCTCACTTCCTAGAACTGTTTATTATGCTTGGCTTTACATCTTTGAATATATTTGCATGTTTTCTCTTGTTATGTCTTCCTCATTAAATTAGAAATGTCTCAATATTAGACACAATATTTTCCAATCAGGGATGGACTATTATTTGCCTGCAGAGTTATGAATTTAAATGTAGTGAGTAGCTAAAGTCGCTCAGTCCTGTCTGACTCTTTGCGACACCATGGACTATATAGCCCACCAGGCTCCTCTGTCCATGGAATTCTCTAGGCAAGAATACTGGAGTGGGTTGCAACACCCTCTTCCAGGGGATCTTCCCAACCCAGGGACTGAACCTGGGTCTCTTACATTGCAGGCAGATCCTTTCAAATCCCTTTCTTCCAATTCTCAGAATCTGATTCTAGTTGAGGCACTCATTCTCTCACTTGGTTACTGTAATCATCTTCTAATGATTTAACTGGCCTCTGGTCTCTGACCTGTGGCAATTCACCATTGATTTCCTTCCTAGTCCTCTTTCTAAGCACAGCTCTAATGGTGTTAGTGCCAAGCTTAAAGGCCTTTGATGGTCCCGCACTGCTTACAAGGGCTTCCCAGGTGGTGCTAGTGGTAAAGAACTCGCCTTCCAATGCAGGAGATGTAAGAGACACAGATTCCCTTTCTGGGTCAGGAAGATCCCCTGGAGGAGGGCATGGCAACCCACTCCAGTACTCTTACCAGGAGAATCCCATGGACAGAAGAGTCTGGTGGGCTTTAGCCCATAAGAGTCACAGAGTCAGACATGACTGAAGCAACTTAGCATGTATGCACTGGTGCAAAATAAAATCCCCAGCCTTTACAATCTGGTCCTAGCTTCCCTTTCTAACCCCATTCCAGTCATTTACCCTTCCTACTCTGTATTTTATGAGCTATTAACTGTTTACCAAATATGTCTTTGCACATTTCCATCCATCTTTATACATTTTCTCTTTTCCAAAGATGGGCTTCTCCAACTATGCATATCTCACTTTTCAATTATGATCTAGCTTAATAGGATCACCTCAACAACTTCTCTGCTGTTCCTAATCAACTTGTTTCTTCTCCTTTCCAGAGCATGTTGTTTATGATTCAGTTTTAGCACCTACCATCTGCTCTATACTCCAGAGGGGATCTATCTCTATCTCCTATTTATCTTGTGAGCAACTTGAGGGCATGGATGATGGTTTATTCATCTTTCTAAGGTCACAGCCTGGCAAGTGGAGTTGGAGGAGAAGAATCATTCTCCCTGGGAAAGAAGAAAATACAATATTTCTAATTACATAAAGGAGGGGAATTTTCCAGCCTGTTTCTTGGAAGAAGTTCAAAATTTTAAATTTAGACATTCACTGTACCTGAAATAACTTCCTGGAAATAGAGTTCAGAACCCTTCTTATAAAAACCAGTCTTTCTAGAAGTCAAATTTGTAACTTGTGGGACATGAAAGTTAAGTTTCTAAACCAGCCTTATCAAACTCAGAAATCTACCCCTTGAGTTCAGTTGCCAATTACGTATCTTCCGTGCAAACCTGCTAGCTCTTAGAATTTATCAAACGGAAATTCTACAGGTAGGTTAAGAATAACTGTGATCTGGTAACTTAGACAAAAATATTTGTTAAATTCAAAACCCAACGGAGACCAGTCTTAATCCCTTGGGCAGACGAAACCAATTTAGTCATTTCTTGCTTACGCCTTTGGAAATAATAAGCAAAATTTGAACTGCTTCTCTAGGCTGAAATGAGGTAACCGCTGAAAATTCTATTATAACCAATCACTATGAAGAAGAAAAAAATCACTACCTTATCACCATATAAGCTGCTTTATAACAACAATATACCCCGATGCCTCACTCCGTATGTTGGTTTGAGTGATCCTAGTTGACAAACTGTCTCTTTGGTGTGTGCACAATATCCATTTACTAATTACTACTTCAGCGATTTATTGGTTTTACTTCGTCTATTTCTGAGCTTTTGACAACCAATGACACGCTACTGTCCTGGGATCTATATCTACTCTCGTCACCACCAGTCAACTGGCACGTGGCTTTAAAGACAGCTCCGTAATTACTTGTAATTCTGGGAGTGCGTGGCAGTTACTTCGCTTTCGTTCACCATTTGATTCTGTGCCAGCAGGCTGTCCGGGTGCTTGGCCACTGGCACCGCCGAACCTGGCGCTAGGATCGTGGCCTTTCCCAGTCAACGCCGGACCGAGAGAAGTCGGCAACCCCAGCCAGCAGGGAGCTAGGGCTGAGGTTGAAGAGGGGCGCGCAAAGTCCGGCCCGCTGGGCGCCGCGACGCCTGGTGGGTATTAACAAGGAGAACCTCCAGGCCGCCGCCCTGCAGAGCCTCAGGGCCCTCACGCCGCCCGGGTGCGCTCGAGGCTGACCCGCGCCGCCGGGCCCCCTTCTAGAGCGGCCGCGGGGGCGGGGCCCGGCGGGGCGCGCGCCGGCGCGTGGAGGCCGGGGCGGGGGCGGAGCGCGCGCAGCGAGGGAGGGGCGAGCGGGGCGGGGGCGCGCGGCGGCCGCTGCGGCCTGTGGCGCCGTCACCCGGCAGAACCCAGCTGGTGGCGGGAGGCGCCGCTCGCCTTGCCGTTGCCGCTGCTGTAGGCGCGCGGAGACGGATCGGGGCTGCGCCAGGGGCCGGCCCACCCTCGCGCCGCCGTCCTTCGGCCCGCGGGCCGCGCCGTTCCGTTATCATGTCGTTGGGGCAGTGGCTGGCCCAGCTGGTAAGCAGTTTGCAGGACCCGCAGAAAGTGGCCCGTTTCCAGCAGCTGTGCGGGGTGGAAGCGCCGGCGAGCTGCACAGCCGCGGCCGCCGCCGACCCGAGGGAGGATGAGAAGGCGGAGGCGCACCTCGCCGGAGAATCCCGGCGCAGAGAGCGGCAACCGGGGGCAGCCGGAGGCCCTCCGCCGCCCGGGAGCGACCGCAATCAGTGCCCGGCCAAGCTGGGCGGCGGCGGCGCCCCCAACGGCGTGCGGAACGGGCGGGCGACCGAGGTGGGCCCGGCCTCGCCGCGGCGCGCGGGGCTTCTGCGCCGCAACTCGCTGACGGGCGAGGAGGGCCAATTGGCCCACGTGAGTAACTGGCCTCTCCACTACCTGTTCTGCTTCGGCACGGAGCTGGGCAACGAACTCTTTTACATTCTGTTCTTCCCCTTCTGGATCTGGAACCTGGACGCCCTGGTGGGCCGGAGGCTCGTGGTCATCTGGGTGCTGGTCATGTACCTGGGCCAGTGCACCAAGGACATCATCCGCTGGCCGCGGCCCGCCTCGCCACCCGTGGTCAAGTTGGAGGTTTTCTACAACTCTGAGTACAGCATGCCCTCCACCCATGCGATGTCCGGCACCGCCATCCCCGTCGCCATGATCCTCCTCACCTATGGCCGCTGGCAGGTAAGGGTCCCGGTCCTCGCCCCGCACAGCCTCCGAGCCCTCGTTGCCCTCCGCAGTCGTTTGATTTTGACCATTCTCTTCCCAGACTTCTCTTCCCGCAGGTTTTCACAGTACCCCCCCCCCCCAAACAGGCCCTTTCTAGCTTAAATAATAATGAAACGGTGGGGAAAACCTAAGACTTAGACATCAAACTCTATTTTACTAGTAATGCTTTTCTTGGAACCTGAAGGAAATACCGTTCGTGGAGTAATACATTATCATCGGGCTTTAGTTGAGTTGATAAAAGGTTTTTAATTCTTGTGATGCACAGACTGTCATTATGATTAAGTATACCGTGCTTATAATTAATCCTTGGGTGACTAAGATTCACCCGTTTTATACGGTGCCTTTCCCCAGACTGATTTCTGTTTCAGGCGTAGGTAAAAGTCATTGACTTTTGCTGGAGACAGTGTTTGTAAAATAAGCATGGTCATTCAGGCAATGAAGTAATGAATTTTAAACGAAAGCCACCCTGTGGAAGTTAATGGAGCACCGCCTGAATGCTCTTTTTAAGGGGTGTGGTTGCTAATTTGCTGATAGACACAATTTAATTAGCTTTTGGATCACTGATCTGTACTGTCAGTTGTTGAACTACAGTATGTCGAATTAACTTTGCAAATACTTGGTTTTAGTTGGTCTTAAAAGTAGGGATCTTGGTCAGACCAGCGGGTTTGTAAAAATGGTAAATATGACAGCCTGACAGCCAGGGATGAGTGAGTTTTTAAACAGTAAACTTTTATATTTTGCGTACTGCTTCTGGCCTCCCACTTTTCAGTTTTTCGTGGTCTGTATATGCAGATTTTAAAGCTAGTTCTTTTTTATATAGAAGCAAAATTTATTTTTAGACTGATGTCTGTTTTATCTGTCACTTTAAAATTCTTATTGAAGTTCAGTTGGTTTACAATGTTGTGTTAGTTATCTGTCTTTTAAATTGTAAGGAGGTTTGTTCGTTCTGCAGACCAGTCCCTTAATTTAAGAATAGAGTTAATAACTATGAAGAATCTAAGGAATCAGAATTCTTGATTTTTTTTTTTCCCCCCATCACAGCACAAAATTATCTTCTACTGAGAAATACACGTCCTGTGTAAACTGTTATGGTAAAGTTACCTATCTCAGACTTAATTTCAATATAGATAAACCCTTGTCCTTATAGACACTTCTGGGCAGTGCATCTCTTACGTACCGTGGAAAATGTGTAATGTGTGTAATAAGAATGGCAGAATTATGAGGGAAGAGTACCATGAACTTTTTTCTTTTTCCCTATGCAACCTAAGGAGTTATACAATAATGTTCAGACTGTAAAGTAATGCTGCTTGTTTGCATAATAGGTAAATATCTCAAATGCATTTAATCTAAATACTTCAGAGTTTACTATTGTCATTGAGTTATGATCTTTACTGGTTAGCTAATGATGTTTCTTTTATTTTTGTGAGATTTTCAGGATTCCATAATGATAGAGCCTTTTATAACTCCTCATTGAGTAGCTATGTTGCAGGCAATTAATTTTTAGCAGTCCAGGTAAGAGAAAGTAGTTTTTTTCCTCTTCATTCATCGAGAGCACATGCTAACAGAAAGTCTAAAAACAGTACCACCGGATTGTTTATGGGATGCATCTATCAGTATTTTAACACTTCAGGGTTATTTGAATTACCAGAATATACTTAAAATATAGTTTTTCAACAACCTAGTATTTTTAATTCAAAGTTTGAGGGCTTTATATATCATGCAGTTTTAGAATTTGAGCTAGTCAGGACTTCAGATGTCTCCTGGTCTCAAAATGTCATTTTACAGATGTCGAAATTGACCAGTTACAGTAGAATTAATCTTATAAAATTTGTTTATTCTTTTACATGTCCATTACAGGTTTGAATAAACTTCCAAAATTTGAGTAATTATTTGTCTTTGATTAGCTGTTTTGAAAAAAAGACTCTCCTCCATGAAAGTTCTGTATTTATAAATGGCTATAATAATTCAGTACAAGGGGGGTTCAGGATGGGGAACACATGTAAATCCATGGCTGATTCATGTCAATGTATGGCAAAAACCACTACAATATTGTAAAGTAATTAGCCTCCAACTAATGAAAATAAATGGAAAAAAAAAACCTAAACAACCTTTTAAATTTTTTACTTTTTTTTTTAAAACCTTGTTACGAATTGAAAACAAAAGTACCTTGCTTTGCTGTAAGGTTTTTAGGTCCCCTTCTCTGCCAGTTAGTATTGTAAGTACTTAGGAGGCTTGTATTTCCAGAGTGAGCAATGAAAAAATGTATGTATTGCGAAGTGGGATAGGAATTAAACCATGAAAGCCTAGTGTTTTTCTGAGTAACAGCAGTTTTGACTGACAGTCGTTGCTGTCTGCTTGTGCTCCGGCTGCTTGTTCAGGACAGGTGTGTGTGTCTCTTACGTGCGTAGGACGCTGAAACTTCTTTGGAAACTTGAGTTATCTCCCTTTGGTGGGACATCTGCTTCACTCCTCCCTTCATGCAGCTTCATGTTCCTGCTTGAAATCTGGTCATGGTTCACTTACATGAAACCTTTTAAATGAAACCTTTGTGTTCCATATTCATGTGTTCTTAAAATAACAGTAAGCCAGAAAAATTATTAGGGGCTTGCATCAAGAACAGTTCCTATACTTTACTCCCAGAGATTCTGATCCATTAGATAAGTAAGGGGTATTGCATTTTATTGAAATTCCCTAAATATTTTTGAGGAAAAAAAAATGTATGTTCTTAAGTCCCATCCAGTAAAATTAGTATATTTGATCCTTAGGCTGTATTTTATTTCTCCAACATTGCTGTCACTGTTCTTTTGCAGTTCTTTCAAAGGTATGTTAATAATACAAAAAGAGAAATTGAAACAGTATGGCTCCAAACAATTATTGATATGCTGGAAGAATTTTTTCCAGTAATGCAGGATAGAAAGTGTTATGGTATTTGTCCAGGTATTAAATAGCTTGATCATATTATTTGTTGGAATTTTTTGTAGTTGAATTGAGAAAAAGTGAGAAATAAGGAACAATAGATATTAAAAACGTAGTCTTTTGAAGAATAATATAAACAAGTAAAGCACTCCTTTTATATTTATTCCTGCATGTTCTTTCCAGAAATAAAAAGTCTTAATTTTTAAATAATATGGCATATAATGAGTTCAAATTTTATACTTAATAACATTAAACAATTTTTAGATGAGTTTCATTTTTTAAAAATTAGTGACATCATATGCTTTATAGCCTACCCATTCCCAACTAGTCCATATGCTTTCACTACTTTAAAAATTATTATTAAAATAATAGTTATATTATTATCTATTAATACTTATTAAGGCCTTACTATGGGTCAGACATTGTTTGAAATATTTATTACCTCATTTAGTCTTCTCTTAATACATGCCAATGTTTGGCCCTACTTGTTAATACAGGTTTACATATTATGAAACTGAGATAGGAGAAGAATAACTTATTCAAAGTTACACAACTAGTGAGGCACAGGCTGACTGTAAACTTATAGACAGACTCCAGAGCTTACAGAGAAAACTCTTCGAATCATGCTTTGTGAATTTTAAATTGACTTTGCAGTAATAAAATTTTTGAAATAGATATGTGTCCTTAAAATACAAAAACAGCTTTGATATGCCTTGAGATACAATACATGTACAATAGTCACAAATATTTCTTTTAAACATAAGTTGTTGACTGAAACTAAATGCTGATTTAATTACCCTTCCTTTCTTCTATTTTCCTAATATGAATTAAAAAAATTAAGCATAATGAAGGCTTTGGGAAAAAAATAAGATATTTATCATAATATAGTTTATTGTCGATAATAAAGGAGACTATTTGTGAGATCATGAAATGATAAAAGGCAAAGAAGTAAGAGTTAGAAGTGTTAGAAAAGTAGGTCACAGATGACAAAGACCAGAAAAGGCTTTAGGAGCCACGGGGTACTGACCATTATAGTAATTCTGGGAAGAAATACAGTTTTTTAAAAAATGAAATTGGCTTGCTACTTTATTTCTTTTTAACTAGCTGATACTTGTGTTTGAAATGCACATTTTTCTGATTTTGTACATGCTTATTAATAAATCTCAATTTTAAATTAATTTATTTGAATGGATAATAGATTGTTGAAAATCCAATGTTTACATAAAAAATGTGAAGAGGAGAGTGGGGCAAGCCCCGTGGCTCAGCAGTAAAGAATTCATCTGCATTGCAAGAGATGCAGAAGACTTGGGTTCGATCTCTGTGTTGGAAGATCCCCTGGAGACGGGCCTGGCAACCCAGTTCACTATTCTTGCCTGGAGCATTCCATGGACCGGGGAGCCTGATGGACTTATACAGTCCATGGGGTCGCAGGAAGTTGGACACGACTTTAAGCTACTGACCACATGAAGAGGAGAGTACAGTTTTCCTTTTTGTTGTCACAGCTAGGAGGCTTTCTTTTCCAGAAGGATTCATCATTAGAAATTTCTTATTTAATCTTCTGGAGATAGTCTTTACTTTGGTAGTGGTGTATTTGTATAGTTTGTTCTTCCTACAGATGGCAACATACTATACTGTTCTGGACCTTGTTTTTTTCACTTAGAAATATATTGTGAAGGTTTTCCTCTTCTTTTACCCAACAGTTAATGAATACTAATTTTGTGCTTATGATTGTTTTAAATGCCTTGCATGACTTTCAATCCCCAGAAAATCCCATGAGTATTGTCACTGGTTTGCAGAAGAAACTGAGGCAGAGGAAGTTAAGTAACTTGCCCAGAATGACTCTGCAAGAGCCTGGATTTCAGATTCAGGCAGTCTGGCTCTGAAGTGACCCCACACTGCTGTGTTATACTGTGTCTCTGTATTAGCATTTTCCGTTGAGAGAGCTATCTGATTTTTGCACATGTGCATGATGTTCCAGTACATTAACAGTATGATTTATTCAGAATTTGATTATTCCATTACTGCCAATTCAAAGACAT